ATGTCCAGTGTCGCATGTATACATCTCAACAATCTTGCGCATATCATGCGTGACATACAAGTTGTCGCACGACTACACAGTAGTATTACTTTTTTCGTTCGGACCAGTGTTGCCTGCTCTTATTGTTTTTGATCGGTAATGGTGTAGTAATACACAACGTAGTACACGGTACAGTGATCCCTCAACGTTTGCTCGCTTTTCCAAATATAAATTTTCCAAGTCAGCCTATTTTACAAAGAAAACACAAACATTAACTTTGAAGGGTGACTATCTGCTGGTCAATTAAGCAAAAGCTGAAGTGAATGGCCCAAGTTCCAACCTCGGTGTCAAGTTCGGGGTGACGTGGGCGTTGAAAATTGAAGCGAGCCTTCGATTACTCCTTCTTTATGTTGTATGATTCAAGCGTACGCTCGTCCTTCAGGATCCGGCGAATCGTCGTGATATGGACGGCATGACCAAATTGTTCGGCTGCCCATCGCTGCACTTGACTGTGAGCTGGCTTAATCGGCATATTTGCCTTAAAGTACTCTCTAATCGAGTTCTTGGCGTGAATTGTCAACCGCTTGCTTTGCTTGCGCTTGTTTTGCATGCTCTCAAATGTCTTTGTGTGTGTAGTTGTCCATGTGAGGTGTTTGGCTCCTCAATTTTGAATTTTCAAACGATGCATGCATGTCATAAGGCCCCTAGTAAATTAATATCGAATAAAATTTAACGGAGTATAAATTTATACCAGGGAGCAAACGTTGAGGGATCACTGTATACAGTACCCACGTTACAAGTGAAGTCTTGTATCCACTGCACCGCAGGATTGAATGTTATAAAAGGACCAATTCCCCGAGTGAGTGGGTGACACACCCACTCAATGGTCAAATGCCCACTCACTCAGGGAATTTGGTACTATTGACCTAAAACGTCCCTGAGTAAGTGGGTGGGACTAATTGCTTGCTACGATAAGTACAATCCTAGCGTTAACGCGAAACACGAAGGCATACAACGTTGTACACCGTTAATCGTACCAACGGTGAATGCTACGTACTGGTGGTGCTTTGGCGTTTTGCTCATGGATGTTCAGGTAGAGTTAGACATGGGGCTTCACTCGTGGTTAAATGGTGTGGTGGAGTTTTACTTAGTGGGCATTACTCAGGCCTCCTAAATTTGTCGTTTTGCTATAAATTGTGCAAGAAAGCGACAAATTAAGTTTGGGATGGGACGACAAATTAAGGTTATTTTTAATTCAGCAGAGGAAGCACTGATCCGCCTTGAGGACGCGATTCCACGGGCCTTACACAGCACAAGCGACCTCATGCCGCCCAAGAAGAAGGCCAACACACCCTTTCAGGATGTTACGCACATGGTAGTGACTGACGATAACCCAGTTCTCCAGATCTGGTGCGCACCGCACCAAATCGACCTAGTCGTCAAGCAGGCCGCCGAGTGCGTGGCGGACGGCACGTGAATCAAGTTCACCGGCCCTTCGCGATCTTTTTGCGCCAGCAAGCCAACCTCATGAAGAGCATGAACTTCAGTGTCCCAAGCAGACAAACTGGTGGACCTACCTCACCAGCCTACTCACGTTCCTGAAGAGCTTACCGCTGGAAGCGGATGGAGTTCTGCGTCGAGAACTGACCGGACGACGCGCCGATCTGTGAATGGTGGCTCATGACGTTCTGCATCGCCCCGATCATCGATGTCGTCAACATCACGTTTGCCATTCTGGCGAGCCGGTCCCTGCACATCGCGCAGCAGGAATCGCACGTCAACGCGCTGGTCAGCACGCTAACGGCCATGCTCGACGTCACAATCGTGGACCAGGGCGAGTCCGACGACGAGCAGCACGAGTCGTTTAAGTCCATGCGCATCCCGGTCGACTCGATCGTTAATTCACCACGAAGTGCTACAACGACCTGACCCGGACGAGCAAGTCGTCGACGCCCGCGAAATTGTCAAGTACACCATCACGGTGATCAGGGGCTTGATGAGCATCCAGGCTGAGCATGATGACGCCAACAAACCGCTGCAAGCGGACGCGCCACCGTGCTTCACTGCGTGTGGGTGCGCGACGTGCTGGCGCCGCAACAGATGAGGAGATCCACCAGCTCTAGGCGGACCACTCGGCACTCGCTGCTCAAGTGTTATCACGACGACGAGATTCGGCGCACAGCCATTGATTCGCACGACGACGCCTGGGGCGTAAGTACAACCACTTGTGCGACTCCTGGCCACCTGCTTGGTCAATACCGTCGCTGTCGAGAGCAACATCTCCATCCTCAAATGGGAGATGGATGAGAATCGCACGGATATGATGTATCTGTCCCTGGAAGGTGTCTTCCTGGCCAAGCAGAAAGAGGCGATGCCGGTACTATAAACTTCACGACGATCCCTTTTGGAACTTTAAAATGGACTTTTTGGCTCCTTAAACCGCCATTTTGTGTAAGACGACAAACTAACACTGGCGAGGACGACAAAATAAGCTAATTTGTTTACTTTGTCGTAAGCGACAATTTTAGGAGGCCTGGCATTACTGGATTGTTGCTTCATAGTCAAGCAGCCCAGTAAGTGTAATATCACTCCATCATAGCTAACGTAAAACAAGCAAACAAGCCGTGGGCCCTATATCTTTGTCAAGGTAATCGTGTTAGAGTTTTACTTTGTGAGCTGTAGTGCTGGCCATACCATACACTTCGAATGCCTACGCGTCGATACGCATGAGGCTAGATACAGTATGCCCAAGCAATTCTCGTTAAGTTCCACAGTTTAACCACGAGCAAAACACCAACACATGACATTTTCGGTGACCACCTGTAAAAAGTCAAATGGCCACAAGTTTTTATCCCATTCCCCTTACTGTAGTAACTAGTAGTATTGTTAACAGTACTTGTATTCAACGTAACCTGTACCATTGCAGGTAGTAATTCGAGTAAGTACTGCTGGTGGCTCCAATTTCGAATCGATTTGACAATGTCAATGAGCAATGCGAGTTAACGTTGTTTGTGTCTCCAGCTTCATAGCGTTGTCGGATGGATGCTCTTGTTTTATTTGAAGCGCTTTTAATTCGCTAGACTTACACTTACTGTTTGTGGCAGTGACATACACGAACACAAAAATATATTTCGACAACTACAAATGTTCCTTATTCGTCGAAGTTTTTCGAAGCATCAATCTATATACAAGTAACTACCTATTTCCCCCACCTTTCAGTGAGCTACGCGTAGACTTCACTTGGTTGTCGGGGTACCGGTAGTATCGTTACGTAGAATATTTTTTATTACGGGAACAATCGGATTCGAGTCGTCGACGAAGGGCTTAGTGATAGTATCAAGTTAGGGCTGCGCAACTACTATTCATATAAACTCAAATATTCTGTCAATAATGTATTTCAAAGCACCAAAATTAATACGTCACAATAAAGCCCCCTGTCCGCCCCCCAAATCAAGTACATGACTTACATCGCTATTATATGTAACGTTATGTACAAAATATAGCTTGGATTGGGGCTGCGTTCAGTTGGTAAAATAATATATATACTACGTAGTAGTTGGTGATGTGAGGCATAATCACAAATCACCTAACACAAAGCACACCGTGTGCTTTGTGGATGAGGAAGTGAATACATACAATCTCCATAGCACTTTGCGAATTACACTGTAGTAGTCTCGATGTCAATTCTCCAGAGATCGTAACCTCGAAACCTTGTTAACTTTGGGGGATGATGCCAACAATATAGTGACTTCAAAAAATCCCAGCTTTAATGAGAATATGATGCAATGCTGTGAGATTTGCAGGTTGATTTGCTGTGTATTTGCGCTATGAATAATGCATCTTTGCGCCCCCTCATAGTACAGTCTAGAATTCAATGTAGTCAAGGGGGAAGGACCCTGAACAGTAAAATAAGAGGG